AAAAAAAAAAAAAAAAAAAAAAAAACACATTGGATCTCGAGTCCAGACTCTTCAAAACATCGACAAAAAAAAGGACTCTTGATTCAATCAGATTTAAGCTTAAATCAAAAGGAAATTCGCTCAAATTAAGAGGCTTGGTTCTTGATTTAAGCTTAAATCTGATTGAATCAAGAGTATTTTTTCTTGCCGATGTTTTTAAGAGTCTGGACTCTAGATCCAATGTGTTTCTTCTTTTTTTCCGGTGCGCCTTGCCACTGGTCTCCTTTGATCGGGACTGGTTCAGAATTTGATCGTGTATCGCAACCTTACAGGCTCTACCCTAGAGACAAATTCTCTAGTATCCAAACTAAAAAAATAAAAGAATAATAAGAGTGACTCACCTTAGGGTCAACGGGCGCAGTCTTAATTTTTTTGATAAGAGGTGGGGAGGGCGACGAAGGGGGGACGGTGGGGGGCGCCGGGGAGTCGTCGTGCGGTAGCGAAGCCGACGACGCCGCCGTCGAGTTGACGAGGGCCGCGGGGGAGGCGGCCGGGACGGGGGCCGCCGGGACGCCCTTGGGCGCGTCCTTGGCGGAGGGCGACGCCGGGAGGGGCGGCGGCGCCGAGGCGGGGGGTCCGGGGGCGTTGGGACTCACCGGGGGCCCGGGCCCGCTCACGGCCACTGGGAACACTACTCGTTGGACGGGCGTCCGCACTAGACCGTTGACGTCACTGTTCTGCACGGGGGTGGCGACCGGCTGCGAGGGCGGGACCACGACCGGGCCGGGCCCGGGGACGGTGGCCACCATGGGCGGGGTGGCGACCGGGGGCGGGGGGAGGGGCCCGGGCCCCGCGGGGGTGGAGCCGGGCGTCGGGCCCGCGGGTGTCTTGACGATACCCGGCGAGGACTTCTCCGCGTGTTTCTTATCCCTGCGGTGGCTCGAGGAGCCTCGCTTCCCCGAGGCCACCGCTCCACTTGCACAACTATTCACACTATTCATATTCGCGTTGACCGCGGGCGGGGCGTGTAGGGGCGGGGCCGCGTTGCCGCCGCCCGCTGCCAGGGGGTCGTTCCCGTTGCCCGCCCCGGGGGCGGCTCCGTTGAGCTGCTCGCCCGGCTTGACGATCTCGTGCTTGGCCTCGGAGGTCTTGGTTCCGGGCTTAGTTCTCTTGATCTTCATCTTGAGGCCTTTGTCGACGGTGGCCGAGTGCTCGACGGCGAGCTTGCCTGTCTTGCCGGCGGCCGCCATGGCGGTGGGAGTGGGCGTGGTCTGTGCCGCTGCTGGCGCCACCCCGCCTCCTCCTCCTCCGCCTCCGCTTCCGGCTACTGCTCCACTTCCTGTTCCGGGTCCGGGGACACTCTTCTCGTTCGTTTTCTCTATATCCGCATCCAAGTCTATGATCAGGTCGCCGATGCCCACGTCCCATTCGTTGTCATCGTACTCGAAGTTGGTCGACGTGGTCGTGGTGGCGGTGGGTTCACTGGATCCTCCTTGGGCCGTTCCTTGCTTCGCCTTGGTCGGGGCTTTGGCCGCCGTGCTGCCGTGCGTGGCGCCGTCCAGCGGGCTGTCTCTCATTGGGGCAGCCATGGGCGCCGCGGCCGGCCGTCGCTCTCGCTCGCTGTCGGGTGCCGCCGCCCGCCAGACTCACGCGGCAACACCATCTTACTTTCTGAAACAAACAAAACAAAGTCGCAACATTAAAACACTGTCCTCTTCCACACACCGCATATTACACAAATAAAACAAATCAAAGCATTGGTACCAGAGTAACCTAGAATAAAAGTGGGTACTCGTGCCGCCAAAAAAGGACTCTCCGAGTGTCCACTCCTCTAGATCGATCAAAATTACGTGCTTTTAGAAGGGCAGTACTGCCGTGCTAAGGAGGAACGCCGTTTGAACCTTCAGACGTTGCCAAATATCCTTCAATAAAACCTTAATTTACTGGGAAAATCTTGATTGTTTTCTTCAGTTTTTTCAGACAATAGTTTTCGCAATTTTGTCTAAAATGTCTGAAAACTTTAAGGAAGAATACGCATAATCGTTCTCAAAAATACATGTTTTATCCGGGGCAATTGGACAACTCTTGAATGTTCATACTGTGTTTTCCCTTAGCACGGCAGTATACCATTGCTGTTGGTCTGTTTTTTCTTGAATTTAACTCAGGTTTTTCATGTTTTATTGATTCAATCAGCATTTTGGTGCTCGGATCTTCGACATGGGCGACATGAGCGTTGTGGAAAGGGTTCATGAGTTAGAATCCGGCAACCTCGTCGTCGCCACCGCTGACGTCACTGGCGCTTTATAACTCCCATTCATTCTTGCGGCCGTTAACTAACGAGCACATCCCATCTATCCCACCTGTCTCTAGTTTCGTTTGGCATACATACGTCCGATTGATCGTCAACCCCGTAAGATGTTAAGATTCAAAGAGAAATCTCAAAATCGAACATTTTAGAGTTAATGCACTGTTCTTCCGTACAACAGTACACTAGCGCGATCCACGGCGGGCGACACAAAAGCTCCCAGCTCCTGACAATCGGCCATAAGGTCATAGGGAACATTCTCATCCAACAAGACTAAATACGCCGGCTGGGATCTCGGCGGGGAACCGGTTTTCGCCGCACTGTCATCGGAGCGCGGGTCGGAATCGCAAGGCGAACCGGGTAATTGAAATCCCGGACCGATTACCCGTCCGACATTCGCCACTCACAATCGGTACACTTTCACACGTGTGGCATATTGATTCGTCG